TCTTTTCCTCCCACTCCCCCCACCACAGTGACTTACTAGAACGTCTGAAGTTTACATATTGGATGAATCAGTGCATCACACAGCGTTTGCACTCCAAAATCCCTGAGGTCATTTCCACTCAAGTCCAGCAATATTAGGTTCTCATTTCTGTTGAGGACAGAGGCAAGGGCTCCACAGCACGCATCTGTGAGATGACATTCTGCTAACCTGCGAGGGATTGAAGATTCAAGAAAGAAATCAGTTTTATCCCAAGTTCTTCAGTGACCATCCCTTTCACATCCAGCCTAGAAAAAAAGTTAGGTAGACAAAGGGTCCCTGTGCACTTACCACAAGGTCTGTAGTTTACAGCAGGGATGCTTCAGCCCTTCACACAGCACCTGCATGCCCTCGTCCCCTAAGGCGTTGTCACTGAGGTCAAGGACTCTCAGGTGTTCATTGGTGTAGAGTGCACTGCACAAATCCTGACAACATGCTCCAGTCAGGTGACAGGTCCACAATCTGTCAGAAGTAAGGTAGAGAAGGTTGGCATCATTTCATTTGCACTGGGCCACTTTAAGAGTTGTGTTTGCCCATTAGAAAACCACATTAGAAAATAAAAGTGTCAAGTAAAAAAACATCCCTTGGACCAGGGCCAGGCAGAGATTGTGGAGAAAGGATGATTTATTCCCCCTAAATTATTTGGTTCTTCATTTATTGCTTCCTTGGAGATTCAATCACCAGGCCAAAAAATACTCATTTAATTTTGGGAGTTGCTGAAACATCAGGAAACTCTGCCTGTGGCTATAGTCCATGATACTTACGCCAGATCCTTTAACTGACAATCAGGCTGTTTTAATCCTTCGCACAGCAATTTCAGCCCCAAATCTTCAATTTTGTTATTAATTAGAAGCAGCCTTGTCAAGCTCCGGGTAGAGCTCAGGACTTGGGCAAGGGGCTCACAACAAGCTGCAGAGAGGGAACATTCAGAAAGCCTAGAAGGATGGGGACACCAAGGTGGCTGTTAACTATGGCAGCAGAGAGTCCCAATGACCCTCAAATGCCAAGGCCCATGAGAAGGACAAGCAAACACTTACACAAGATTCTCAATTATACCCTTTGCATGCTTCAGACCTTCACAGAGATGCTGAACTCCTGTGTCCCCCAGGGCATTGGCAAACACAAAGAGCTCTTTTAGAGTCTGACTCATTTGCAAGAAAGAAGAGAGCTCCACACAGCTAGCATCCGTAAGGTAACATGTGCTCAAGCTATCCAGAGAAAAAGAAAAGAAAAATCAGCTACTGCCATCATTTTGGCTTCCTAGAAATGTTCTGCCCACTAAGCTAAGTCCAAGCCATCCTTTAATTTCCAGCTCCTGCCTCCCCCCCCCCACCTCCTTCACACAACCTCCTTCTGGGGTCTCCAGCCCACAGTGACCTCCCCCTCTTCCCTGGGCTCGTCTGGCATTTTTAAATGATTCCACAGTATTTGGTACCTATCTGTGTGTCCTTAAGGGTATCCTTGTCACTTGTAAAACTTCTAGTAACTCTACTCACATCCAGCCCAGTATTGGGTACATAGTAGGTATTCTTTCATATAGTTAATATTTAATTAGCATCATTCCTGTAAACACACAGAACTGTGGTATACTAGAAAGAATATGAGATTTGGAGACAGATTTTGTAGTCACATCCTGAATTTTTAGCAATCTCACTTCAGACAAGAAACTTTTCCCCGATCCTAGTTTTCTCATCTGTACAATGGGGATAAGAAATCCCACCTTACATGGTTATTGTATGGAATGAATAAAGTGAAATAACTTCTGGCAAGGACCAAGCACATAGCAGCCACTCAACAAATTTCAATAGTCATAAGATGGCACCAGATGGTTCTGAGAAACTTACTCTAGTTTCTCCACTTTACAGTTGGAGTGCCTGAGACCTTCACAAAGATACTTCACCCCTCTGTCCCCCAGGGGATTTTCACTCAGGTCCAGCTCAGTGAGATGTGGGTTGCAAATGAGAACAGAGGCAAGATACTTGCAAACAGCCTCTGAGCTTTCTGGGAGAAGGCTAGCACACAACCTGGAAGGAACAATGTACAGAGACAAAATTGGCACTTTTTAGTATAGCAGTCATTCCCATCCACAATACTGCATAAGCAGAGAAAATTAAGACCCACACATACAAAGACCCCCAATCTTGAGCATGTCATAGCCCCTTATCCCCTATGGCAAGAACTTGTGCAGTGCTTCTAAAACAATGCGTCTCACAAGTGGAAACTCAATAAATGTTGACTGCCTGAAAAAATAAAAGGGTTGGTAGGAAATATTAAGATGATATAATCTCATTTTAAATCCTTATATGAATTTAGCACTCTATCTCATATCTTCTTTCAAATCCCAGGGGGAAAATTCTATAATCATCCTTCATAGATTTTATAGCCAAATGGTATCTCTTTTTCTCTTATCTAAATGTCATTATTTATTAATTTGCCATCCTTAAAGACACTCAGCCAATCACTACCATCCATATAATATTCTTTCTTTGGCACAAAGTGTGTTTTTTATGACCTCCCTGTCTTCTCAATCTTTGTTTCTCCATATTAAGCAGTCCAATTCCTTGAACCATTTCTCTTCAACTTTTTTCCATCACTTTCAAGAATTTCTAGATACACGCTACAATCTTTGAATGTTTAATTTCTTCTTGACTTACCAGGCTCTAAACTCAGTCTTGAAAACAGCTCATAACGAGATGTAATTGTATCTCCCCAATTTATAAATTTTAAATAGAGGCATGCTGCATAAAAATGAGTTTTCAAAGTGGATTTTTAAAAGCTTTAATGCTACAGAGATTTTGCTTTAAAAAATCCCACATATATATTGTGATAGTTAATTTCATGTGTCAATTTGGCTAAGCCATGGTACCCAAATATTTTGTCAAACATTATTCTAGATGTTTCTGTGAAGGTACTTTTTAGATGAAATTAACATTTTAATCAGTAAACTTTGAGTAGATTGCCCTCCATAATATGGGTGGGCCTCATCCAATCAGTTGAAAGCCTTAATAGAAAAAGACTGACTTCCTCAGAAGAAAAAGGAATTCTGCCAGCAGACAGCCTTCAGACGTGAACTGCAACATTGGCTCTTTCCTGTTTCTAGTCTGCCAGCCTGACCTGCAGACTTTGGACTTGCCAGCCTCCATAACTGCATGAGGCAATTTAAAAAAAAATAAATCTGTCTCTGTCATTCTCTCTCTGTCTTTTTATACACACACACACACACACACACACACACACACACACACACACACACACACACCCTATTGGTTCTGTTTCTCTGAAGAACCCTAATACATATATGATGACAAATTTTTTATTAAGGTGATTATTATGGACTTGAAGTCAGACACATCTAGGTTTTGAATTATGCCTCTGCCATCATTCCTAGGTTAATGATAATGGGCCTCCATTTTCTCATCTGCTAAATAATCTGGACCTCTCATAGCTGTTGTGCAGATTAAAAGAAATCATATATACAAAGCATTCAGCACAATGCTTAGGACAAACTAATTGCTCAATAGGTGTGAGTTATTCTCACTGATGATATTATCACTTAAAATGAAAATTGTCTTCATAAGCTTGTTACATAGGAACAATTGTAGTAACTGCCACTTTTATTCTTCCCTTCCATGACTCCTTGACGTGTTTGGATCATATGGCATCCATCTTGAGTTGCATATTTTTCAAATATTCTTGCAGAATGAAAACTAACAGTTACAACTTACTTGAGCTTCTGTAATTTGCAATTTGGATCTTTCAAGCCTTCACAGAGCAATTTCAAAGCTGAAGCTTCCAGTTTTGTTTCACTAAATTCCAGCTCAGTGAGCCACTGATTGGTGCTAAGAACAGCTGCTAGAGCACCACAAGAAGCAGGAGAGATAAGGCACCGGTACAACCTTTAGAGAACAGAAGAATAACCTCATTACCTTATTCATGCTCTCCCCCCACAGAAACAGAAATTGACCGATAAATGATATGAATACAAACAACAAATTAACCTGTTAAGAGTTACCTCAATGTCTGTAATATACAGTTGGGCTGTTTTAATCCTTCACATAGAAACTTCATTCCTGAATCTTCCAGGGTATTTTTTACAAATTCCAAATCTGTCAGATACTGGTTGGTTTCAAATACTGCAGAGAGGTCCCTACCACAAGAAGCTGTGAGGTGACAGAAAATCAGTCTGTGTGGAGAAAAACACATTTCAAGAAAAAAAAAATAAGGCTCTCTTTAAAGGTACTTGTTTGCATCTTACTGGTGTAATAAATTATTTCAATTCATTCAACAATTAATTTATTGGGTGCCTACCTCTGTACTACATGCTGAAAACACAGAGATAATTAAGACACAGACCATTCTCTCAAGGAGGGCCCAGTTAATAGGGAAAAAAGATTAGAAAATCATGAGTCATAATATGGTGTGAGGAATACCGCAAGAGGTATGCACAAGGTATGATGGGGACACAGAGAGGTTGCCCAATTCAGCCTAGCTTGAGGTGGGGTTTGGAAGATCAAAAAATACTTAGAAGAGGAAGAAATGCTTGAGTGTTGTCATGAAAGGGGAATAAAACATGAACAGGAGTTAGGTGAATGTGGAGAATGGGAGTGGAGAGAGCAGGAGGGGCTGAGGGACAATCCATGAATGGAGCAGCCTGTGCAAAGGCCAGGAAACAAGAGAGAAGATGCTTCAATTGAGAAACTGCAAATTATTTGTTATGAACTATTTTAAATGACTGGAAGGATATATACCAAACCATTAACATTGGTTATCTCCCAGGTTGGGAAAGGGTGAAATTATAAAAAGACATGTATTTTCCAAGTACATAAAAAATATTTACAATGAGCAGACCTTACTGGGAAAACAATGTATTTTTTAAAAATTTTGAAAAACATAAATGCTTATTACAAAAAACTTTGCAATAGAGAAACATATAAAGAATAAAGATTTTTTAAAGTATTGTATTCCTACCACCCAAAAATAACCACAGTTAAAATGTTGGTATATAATTTTCCAGATGTTAATACATGTATACATATAGTTGTATGCTCTTAATAACAAATGAAATCAGAGAAAGATATTTTTAAAAGTTAAAAACTTTTTCTTAATTTCCCGTTGAACCCCACATCCCAGAGATAACGAATGTTAAGAGTCTGGTGTACATCCTCCCCCACTCTGTTCTCCAAGATTATAGAAACATATGCAAACGTATATATACGATTTTTTGTAAATTTTACAAAAATGGGATAATAGAAAACATTACTTATTTAGCTTTACATGCACTTATGTCATTCAGTCCTAATCAGACGCACAGTTTAATAAGTGGCAAAGTAGGACTTAACCTGAGATCTTTCTGGTCTATCTTGTTGGTTTCAGAAAGTCATTGGAGGTTTTAAAAGACATACTCAGATTCTTCTGATGACAGAGTATGGCAGAAGCCAGAGCTGATGTCAGAGGGCTGTCATGGTGGCGCAAAAAAAAATGAGGGGACTGGACTAGGATTGGGAGGGTGGAGGTAGACAGATTCAAGACTCGTTTTCTGGAGGAGGCGGGGCCAGTATTTATACCCATTTAGAGTGACTGGGTTGGTCAGCCCTGAGCCAATAGAGTATGGGGCTCCACCCGTGGCTCCACCCTCTTGCTCCAGGGATTACCCGAAGCCCCTGAAGGGTTGGCGGCTATTTCCTGTTCTAGAATATTCCGTGCCTAGCAGAGGGCTCCCCTGGCATGGGACAAACCATTATGGTGGGGGAAACACTTTTTTACTTGATTATAAGAGCTTCATTTTCTTGGCTCTAAGTCTTTTCTGACCACTCTTGTTTCTTCCCCCTTTCAAGGGCTTTCAGTCACATGGTGGGTTCCCTTACATCCTGTGGAGGGGCAGGGGACTTCCTCACCCACTCCCTCCTATCCCCCCCCTGCAGTCTACAGAAATTGGACCAGTCCGAGAGTAAAAGCCTCAAGGCTTGTCCCCAGACTTTCCTTTCCCTGGAGCCCTGGGAAGGAGAGAGGGTCTGTTCTCTCTTTGAGCCTGGTGGGTGGGCGTGCTTGGCCCATACTTCCTCAGTCCCCTGGCTGAAGAGGTGAGTCAGGGTGGGAAGGTGCCCTAAAGCCGGATAAGCCCTCAGGGGGTCATAATGAGGATAAGTCTGAGGGTGTGTAAGGGGAGGAGAAGGGGTGGGGATGGGAGGGGCTAAGGGAGAGGGGCGGGGTTAAGGGAGAGGGGAGGATACTACTGGTTGATCCATCCTCACAGCACCCGCAAAACCACTAAGGCCCTACGCCATCATGGCCTTGAAACCCGACGACCCTTGTGGTGGGTTCCAGCATGGCAAGGTGGTGGCCTTCATCAACGAGAAGATGGCCGAGCACGTGAGAGGCCCTGAGTTCTACCTCGAGAATATGTCCCTGTCCTGGCAAGAGGTGGAAGACAAGCTCAAGGCCATCCTGGAGGACAAAGACATGTCCAGGCAGGCCAAGGAGGCCTGTACCTGGGGCGGCCTGGCCCTGGGCGTGCGCTTCGCCCACAGGCAGGGGCAGTTACAAGGGCGCAGGGTGCAGTGGCTGCACGACTTCGCCAAACTGCACAAGTCGGCCGCGCAGGCCTTGGCCTCAGACCTGAAGGAGCTCACAGCGCAGCAGGAGATGGAGCGGAAGGATGCGGCCTTCCGGCTGCGGATGGCCCAGGCCAACCTCGCCGAAGTGCATAAAGAGCGGGACCTGCTGAGATGGAAGCTCCTCCAGGCCGTAAGATTATTTGCCTGATCCTCACCCAGTTCCCCCGCCCCGCCCCCTGCCTCGCCCCGCCCCTTCCCCTCCCCCTCCCGGAGAACGCCTCTCAGCCCCGCACATTTCTCTCCAGGAGCTGAAGTATCAGGAACAGGTCAAAGCCCGAGGGGCAGGGGCTGGGACAGACGGAGCAGGTGAGGAGGAAGAGGCAGCGATGGCGGCGGCTGCTGGTGCTGCTGAAGGAGGAGGAGGAGGAGCAGGAGCAGGAGGAGGAGGAGGAGGAGGAGGAGAGAAGAGGGGTGCCGAGGCAGGGGCTACCGCCACAGAGGCTCCAGAGGATTTTGATGGAGGCTTCCTGCAGCTTCTCGGAGCTATGGAGAAAAATTACACCTCTGGAGGGCAGAGGGAGGGAGATCACAGGTCAGTGGAAACAACGTTTTCTTTGTCTGGGACCCAGGAGCCCCAGGCCAGCACCTCACTGGAGCCCCTTCCTGTCCAGCTCCCTGCCTCATTCACATACACATACTCATGCCCTTTGTCCCCCTTCTCTTCTGGACCCACTCTATCCCCACCAGCAGCAACGGTCACACCACCACCACCTCCACCTCAGATGCCTCCCTCCTGGGGGGGCTATGATTCTAGTCTGTGGTCTGATGTGGGGTTCCAGGGAATAGACCCTCCAGAACTCCAAAGAGAGAGGAGAGACTCCGAACCCCATCACCAGGGAAGAACTCCAGTATTTCGCAGGCCTGGAGACTGGGACTGCCCTTGGTGTAAAGCTGTGAATTTTTCACGGAGGGAAATTTGCTTCCGCTGTGGGAGGGGAATCTGGCTGCAAAGCCCTCAGTGAATCAATGAATTCAGAAATGGGAAATAGAAGGGAAATATATCCCAAAGGGAAATCAATTTTCGGGGGGGGGGGCTGGGTGGAGGTGGGGAAAGAGGATGAATGGGATGATGGGGCAAGGGGAGTGGGAGAGAGGTGGGGTGGGAAGTGGGGAGTGTGTAGATGGTTGGGGGGAGACATGTTTTGATGATACCCTTTGTATTCCAGAGCATTAGCATACAACACCCCAGAACTGCTGCTGCTTCTATTTGTGTGTATGTGTGTGTGTGTCTCCGTGTCTCTCTCCCCTACCTAGGCCACAGATGATTGAAACAGGAGTGGACATTTGACCCATCCTGAGCCCAACAGAATTTATCACTAGAGAATCTGAACAGAGAGGCAGATGCTAGTCAGGATGGTGTTGGGCAATGAAGCAATGGGTCACTTGGAGTTGGAGCCAGGGTCAGAGCCATAGCAATGCCACAGCTGAGGCCTGGCCCTGGCTGTGGAGGAACAGAACTAGATGCTTCACAGAGGCAAGTGTCTTTTAGAGGATTCCATTATGAGATTCCAGGGAGCAAACAGGCACAGAGGAGTTCATCCTATGACTCCAGAGCGATGGAGATAGTGGTAGTGCCCAACCACTTTTTACTTCCTGCAATTGTGCTACCTGAAGATCCACTTTACACAGATCCCCTTTTCTTTAATCTAACTTGAGGGGGTTCCTGTTCTGGGCAACCAGATTATTTCCAAGTCAGAAACTGGTACCAGAAGAGCAATTTCAAACAAAAGACCATCAAAGAAAATGTTGGAACTGACTAAGGAGTTGCATCAGGGTGTGGAGAGTAGAGGAGATTCCTACTCTACTCCAAGAGTTTCCAGGAATGAACTGGACAGGAAGCTCATTTGTGTTCTGAGGGAGTTATGTCAAGAAAAACAATCAAAACAGGCCTGGGGTTAATCTCATTTTCATGCTGACTCAAATCAACACAGCAGAGATTAGCCACCCCTAAGAGAATCCCTCAGGGCTGCGCGCAGAGGATGCCAGCACTGGCTGCAGGCGAGGACTGCTATGACTGTGCAGCCCAAGACAATCCACCACAGTTTCCAGTGGGCAGAACCCGGGACAGCCTGATCTGAACAGGGAACTCATGCCACTGCCAGGGAGGTAAGTCAGCAACTGACAGTGACCCAGAGGGTTTCCTGGCTAGACTACGGGCCAAAATGTGGTGCCACCTTGAGAGATTCTCTCCCCCTACCTATCACCACGATGAATGTGGGAGGGGAATCTGGCTACAAAGTTCTCAGTGATCTCAGCAATGTGAAATACAACAGAAACATATCCCATGGGGAAATCAACTTCCAGAAGGAGGGGATGAGGTAGGGGAGGATGTGAGTGGGTAGGGTAAGGGGTAGGTGAGGGGTTGGTCTGCTTCTCTCCCTCAAATAACTATGAGCTGTGTTGACAGGGACTACATGTATGGTTTAGCCCACAGGTGGAAGGATTGGGAGGGGTTACAGCTGGACCAGACTGAGTCACAACTGGAAGAGCCCTGGACATTGCCCCGTGGACCTAGAGACTGAGAAGCTGTCTCGACCCTGGGACATCTCTGCAGCAACTAGCTGTGACTTTGGGTTGTCTCCTGGTGGGGAGAGTGTAGACAATCATCATCAGGATTGGGGGCCAGATCCCGGGTCTGCACTTTTCAGAACTATCTGGGCTTGTTTATATCTCTCTAGGACAGAGTTTCCTAACCTCAGCACTCTTGACATTTGAAACTGGATAATTCTTTGTTGGAGGAGGCTGTCCTGTGCATTGTAGGATGTTTAGCAGAATCCATAGCCTCTACCCACTAGATTGTCAGGAGCACCCACTCCTACACCCTCAGTTGTGATAACCAAAAATGTTTCCAGATGCTGCCACATGTCCACTAGAGGTCAAAAATCGTCCCTGGTGGGAATCAGGGAGGCAATGAAGTATGTAGGAACAGTTAGAACAGGGGAATAGTCAAAAGGGAAAAAGGTCAGGGAGGCTGAAGGGACCCCCTAAGATAGGAGCTCAAAAATGCAAAAAATAAGATAGGAGCTGAAAAGTGGCCATCAGGTCTGGCAGTTTACTTTGGATTTTCTGTGTACTTTGGATCTTCAAGCAGATACAGGGGAGTGGTGGAAGCAGAAGCCAAACTGCAGGACTCAGTAGTGAATGGGAAGTGAAGAAGTGAGTCAGTGAGGGAGGCTCTTCTTTAAGGACTCTTGGCTGTGAAAGGAAGGAGTGAGGTGGGGTACATGGTTGAGAGAGGGTTCTTTTGAATGTGGGAGAAATTTGAGCCATAGGGGAGAAGATAGTTGAAGAAAGCTTGAAAATGGAAGAACTATGTGAAAGAATGTGGTAGATCCTGCATACTGCATTGGAGGCATAGCCACTGTATTGTTAAATGAAAAAAAAATCATAGGACAGGGTCATTTCTGGTTCTTGTAAAACAAAATCTCAAAAGTTCTGTAAATATGTTTGTATGTTACATGTATTTATAGATTTATGTTTGCCTTATGTTACTGATTTATGTTTGAGTAAACAAAAAAAAAGGTCTGAAAAGAGACTTAGCAAACAAGGTTATTATGTAGAGAGGGTGAGCTCAGGGACAGGGAATGGGAGGCAGTGGGGTATGGGGGTATAGAGTGAGATGGGGTACAGGGCAGCTGGGTGGATGGATTTTATTTCTTTATATGCTTCTGTGTTGTGAAAGTAAAATAATTAAATATTCACAAAAATGCAAAAAATAAAAGGAAGTGAATTTACTGCTTTGGGTGGGTTGGAAGGACCACCTTTTCCTCTGGGACAGGAGGGAAGAAGGAGAACAAACACTGATCTATGTGGCAAAGGCAGAGGGTGGGGAACAAGGGGGCTCCTTGTGTGTAATGTGGACAAAGCACCTGAGAGTGAAGATGGAAGGTCAAGGCAAGGATGGGGACTTCTTTAGGCACTCTGAGGAGTAATTTGGAGTGGGGGTGAAGGTGAGGAGTGGAGAGAGATATTAGGATAATCAAGCAGAATGGAGTAGAATAGGATTGAATTCAAAGAAAAGTAAAGGGAAGAACGGTGGGCAACTAGCAGGAAAAGGAAGGAGAGTAGATCCAGGAGTGACACCAGTCACAAATCTCTCAGGTGTTGCAACCTGCCATCTATTCATTACAGCAGAAATAGCACATGCAAAGGGGAAAAGATAGGGAAGACAGGCAGAGATCTGTGTCTGACTCCTTCCCCTTCTAGGCTTATAGCATATCTTTTCATCTGTTGCTCTGCTATGGAGAAGCTGAGCACTAGCTATACTTTGTTTTCAGGTCCAGCTATCTAGGAGTGCAATTTCTAGCAACCCAGTCTTTACCTGCAAATACCTAAGAGTTTAAAGCAAAGTTCAACTTACTTCAGGTCTTTGATTTTACAGTATGGATTACGCAGTGCCTGGCAGAGCAAGTGTAGCCGAGACACTGGCAAATTGTGCAGCTGACAGGATCTAAAAGAGTTGAGAAAACAAAAATAATTTAAAACAAAACAAGTAAAAGGTTATTTTGACTTTTGTCACCATGCTAGCACTAATTTACCCCTTCCCCAAACCTTAAGAGGTATTATCCCATTTTGCAGAAAAGGATATTAAAGCACAAAAAGTTAAGTAATTTGCTCAAGGTCACATAGGTAAGTATAAAACAGAGGTCATTACTCAGATCTGACTCCAAAGTCATGTTACTATGTGCCGAGCACCTAGTTAAGCGCTGTACATACACAAATTATCTTATCTGGCCCTTAACCCAATGACAGGTATTGTAATCACCATTTTGCAGATGCTCTAAGAGGTCAAGTGACATCCCCAAGCTACCTTTACAATATAACTGGCTCTTGGTTATCAGTACTGATAGAAGAATTAATTATAATAATTGAAAACTAATAAAGTTAAATAGTAAACCCTCACTTAGCCAAGATGTTTAGGAAAGGAGTATTTTGGGTTTAATTCTTGATAAGAGTTTAAGCCCTCTGATAAAGGGAATAAGGGTTAGGGGCGGAGACTCTAAGGCTGATTTTCTGGAAACCCAGAATGAGCCAGAAGCCCCTTTTTGTTTCCATCAGTGTTTCAACTCCCTCAAAATGTATCAGTCCATTACTTTATAACATACAGCGGGACTGAAGCTGTCATTAATTGGTCAAGACCTTGTAGCCAAGGTCTTTCATAATTCTGAATCCGTTTAAGCTCTGCTACCCCTCCCCCCCCAGTTCTAAACACAAACTCTTGCTGCACTTCCCTCCCCCTCCCCACTTCCCTCAAACATACACATGACATGCTTATTTCTGCCTCTATGCTATTGCCCACTAAGGAAATACAATTATAAGAGGTAATACTTGAGTTAGGCCTGGTACGGTGGCTCACACCTGTAATCTCAGCACTCTGGGAGGCCCAGGTGGGAGAATTGCTTGAACCAAGGAGTTCGAGGTTATAGTGAGTTATGATCATGCCACTGCACTCCAACCTGGGTGACAGAGCAAGACCCTATCTCTAAAAATAAATAAATAAATGTGTTTTTTTTTAAAAAAAAAAGACTTGATTTAATTCCCTTCTCAAGTAGAACCTTTTGCTCACGCTCCTATCCTCAAGGTCCCCTACTCATCAGCTGACCTCAAAACTATGGGAGAGGCAAACCTAAATATTGAGAACAGACTTAAGGCATTTTCTAGATAACACAAGTATAAGTTTTCTTTACTGCTTTAGTCAATAAGTCGATAAAACTGTATTTTATAGTATAGAGTCCATATTATAAAAGTGGTTTATTTAAGCCTCTTTGAACTTCAGCTTTTGACCTTCTGTGAAGTTGCAAGTTCTGGTGGGAAAAGCCCAGGCTTTACAGCAAGATACATAGAGGGTAGCTCTGCCCCTTACTAATCTGAAGCTCTTTGAGGCCTTAGTGATGGAGCATATGTAGAGGAGAGTGACAATCAATCCAATGTTAGGTTTACAATCTTTTTCAGAATGGTCATCTACACTAAAACAGCAGAGTCCACAATGATAATCTTGATAACCCTGCATACCCAAAAC